TCTCATAGTTGAGGTATATCTATGATGAAAATTACTGGCCTCTCTCATCTTTTTAAGTGGGAGAACTTGCACTATTGGTGGCTGACTAGATACTTTTTTGCCCCACTTTTTTGCCCCACTGTATATATAGTTTAGTCCGACGACGGAGGGACATGAGGGCCAAAAAGAGCGGAGATCCAGGTGGAAAAAGGGTCTCAGCGGTCTCGCGCACCTCGCCCTTCTAGTGGGTCAAACTTCACGAGTTGTTTTCCGCAATTTCGTTCATAAAAACAAAACATAAAAAACATAAAAACAAAACAAGCCGGCCTCCTGTCTGCGGCACTATATATATATATATATATATACTATACTATACTATACTATATATATAGATATAGATATAGATATATATATATATACATATATATCATCAGTGACCCCTCACACCCCCACCATGGACAGTTCTCGCTGCTGCCCTCTGGAAACAGGCTTAGCAGTACTCACTGCAGGTCTGCAATAGCTTTTTCCCCACTGCCATCAGACTGTTGAACTGTTAAACTCTAAACTGGACTCTGCATCACACTCACAACAATCCTTTTAAATGGGACACAATTCAATGTTATACTACATTTTGCACCATATTCATGTTGCACTGCAACAAAACTTTCCATATGAATGCTCTTTTGTACCTTTTTTTTTAAGTGGTTTTCCTTTTTTCTTATACTGTTTACATGTTGATGATCACTGCTACACTTTAAATCATAATGTTCATTTCACTGTTGTAAGCTGTAAAATATATATATATATATATATATATATATATATATATATATATATATATATATATATATATATATATATTAATATGGCATGCCGTTTAGGAAATTATTATTATATATACTGACAAGAGTTAGAATATATTGAATGAAACTTGAATATATATATATTTGTGTATATATATTTATGTATGTGTATAAAAGTTGGAGTTGATGCTTCTTGGCCAATAGCCGGAACTTTGCTGTTTTGTTTCCCTCCGGTTATATTTTAATGTCACAACTACCATCGAATGGGAGTAGTTACTTGCAGTTCCTTGTTTATACAGTAAGATATGTCTATATTGTCAGGAAATACTAGTGTTATTTAATTTTCTCGGCTATAATTAGCCATGCGGGAGGTTAGTGACTTAATTGTATTGATTGATAGTTGTGAAGAAACGCTAACAGCATTATTTAATTAGCCACTAGCTAACCAACCATTCTGTGCGTCTGTTAAATCGCTCCTTCTTCTACACTGACCCATACGCGGTTTCAGTTGGCTCTAAAACATGACAGGTTTGGGAAGCAAGTTGTTCTGCAAGGTGGGGAAGTTCTGCGAACACATCCCCGTGTTCCTTAACACCTTCCTGGTGTTCTCGATCACCGGGGAGGTGAGCTACCTGGTGCTGGTGGGGGCTCCACTGGAGGCGGAGCAAAAGGATAGCGTGTGGTCCAGCTGGTGGAAGGCGCTGCACCTGCTGGGCCAGTATTTCATGCTGGGGAACATCTGCTGGAACGCCTTTCTCTTCCTGAAAACCAGTCCCAGCATCAAGGGGGTGTTCCTAGGAGGAGATGGACTGGGACAGGGCTGGAGGTGAGGACTGGTTGACTTCATTCTTGGAAATCTATCTGTAATTAAATGAAGAATTGGAACTACATATATTGCTAAATCAGTTTGAGCAATAATCATATGAAACACTTAGAATCAACACGTAAAAAAATAAATATATGTAATGAAAGCAAAGGCAGCTGGGTGCAAATAGCATCCAACATTACAAATAATGGACATTTTGCAGTATATGTCACTAAGGATGTGTTCAGGAGCAATTAGGATTACACCCATAAATTCATTGTTAATGGAGAATTGTGAGTCTCTGTCAAAAAAGGAGAAGGATTTAATTAAAAGGAATTAAAGAAGAAAATACAACTTCAACAGTATCACCGAATTGCTGGCATAACTCTAAATTTCAAACTCATTTGTTTGTGTAGAAAGGACATCAATGGGCTAAATAATATCATTTGGATAATCAAATATTTTCTCTCAGTTATTCAGTTAGTTTAATTCCTTCTTGACAATACATTAAATTAAAATATATACAATTCTAATTGAGAAGAAGAAATAATGCAACTAAATGAAATTGGGGTGAAATTGGCTAATATTATACTTACTTATTTAGAGATTTATATATATACAACAGTTTTCAAATATGCATTCTTTAAAATAGAAAACAGATAACAGATTTTAGGCTCTAGAGGCCATTTCTTATATTTTTGAAAATAGTTAGGAGGTTAAAATAGAACACAAGTAACGATAAGACTACGGGTAGGCCATGCTTTACTAAATGACAGTTTTTAGAATAGGGGTAAAAACCAAAGAGTATGTTGTTTGCGCAGAAAAAGAAAATGTAGAACATATATTTATTAAATGTTTTATATATTTAGATGAGAGAAGAGAGTTAAAGGAAAATATGCAGAATGCAGGGTGGGAATAGAGTTGGAAGGAATTTTAGGTTCAGGATTGAACAAAGATATTTATAGTAGGGCTGAAACATTTAATGATTAATCAATTATGGAAATAATCGCTTATCTAATTTAATAATCAATTAATAGTTAACAGGAGTATAGAGACTCTAAAATGTGGCTTTAGTTGAAAGAGCAACCCACTTAGAGCAGTAATTATATCAAAATTATATAAACATTTTGCATTTAAGATTAAAAAAAAAAAACATTGTTTTCATCTGTCAGTATACTCTATCCAGAAATCCTCAAGTGGAAAAATTTTTGTTTCATGTGGTTTAATTTAGTAAAAAAATATTATTTTATGAACCTTTGGCTATTTTTTGGTTAATCGAAAAAATAATCCACAGATTAATCTATTTGCAAAATAATTAGTTGCAGCCCTAATTTATACTTAGAAAAGTATTATTTATGTTTTTACTAAACAGAAAAAAAGAATTTAGATTGTAGAGATTAAAAAGTTACAGCCTTGTACAGTAGGTGGCGGTATGTACCCTGAGGTTGTTTATAATCTGCTAATAAAGGAAAAGAAAAAGTAATCATCGTTTATGCAATAAATCTAGTTTAGTTACTAAGAAAGTATGGACTTTCCATCTTGTTGTCAAAACATGTTAAGACTGTAACTTCCTCTTCTAAAAGGGAACATATATATTTTTTCCCAAACATTTTTTCTTAGGAGAAAACAAATGGCTGAATATATATCAGGACTTTGTTTTATTTTGAAGGATTTTATCACAAAAGTTCCTCTACCACTTGGAATAATTTAAAGTAAAACAGTACTAAATGAATGAAGCTAATGTTCTTTGTGTCCATATACTTTATTGAATGTTCTGTTAATGTTAAAGGTTATAATCAATATCAGTTTGTTTGGTAAAATACTGTTTCTTTACATTTAACTTAGCTTCTTATTTTTCAGATGTAGAAATGTAGCCATTTTAAGCTGCGTTAAAGTCCTTTTCAAAAGTATTGGAACCCTTTCCAGATTTTGTCAGGTTACTCCCCCACATTTATGATTTCCTTTGGGATTTTTTTATCTCATATACCAAATATGGAGTCCCACATATCACAAAGTGAATGTAAATGATACTTGATTTTCAATTTTTTTTTTAAAAACTATTTTAAAATGTTACATTTATGGTTCTTTCAGGGTATCACTGCAGACTTTGGCATTTGGATACTAAAATTTCTGCTCCAGACTAGTTAAACTTAAGGATTCATTGATGATATATGTTTTCAAGTCTTGGTACATTCTTTGGATTAGATTTGGTAAATAGAATATTTTTCTAATATTTATGGTAATGGATAAAATTTAATGAAAAACAACAGGTTTATATTCCTAAAATAAGCGGAAACTCTCTTTCCCCACTTATTCTAACAAATAGCAGTGACATCTTCAGGATCAGAGAATGTTTTGTGACTTTTTGTACACAGGTATTGTTACACCTGTGAGACACACACCCCTCCACGCTGCTCCCACTGCTACGACTGCAAGGTCTGCGTCCTGCGGCGGGATCACCACTGTGTCTTCTTCGGCCAGTGCGTCGGCTTCCGCAACTACCGCTACTTCCTCAGCTGCTTGCTCTTCATGTGGTCGGGGCTCCTCTACGCCATGGTGATGAATGCGGAGGTCTTCATAGTCATCCTGAAGGAGGGCGTGACTCTGCACAGCATCCTGCTGCTGCTCGTACCCTGGATCATGCTGGTTTCAGGTTATTTTAAAGTTTCAGTTAGATTTTCTTCCAATGAGTTTAAACTTATTTTTCTGTACAAATAATTCAAATACAAATTATATTAATATGAGTTTTTTTCTTAGGCCAGGTCTCGGCGCGGGCCTTCGCCTTTGCCTTCATCGCTGACACGTGTGTGGTTGGTTTCCTGCTTGTCTCTGCCTTCTTCTTCTTCCACCTATTCCTGCTGTTTCGAGGTCAGACCACCAGGGAGTGGTACTCGTCTCGCCGCCCGTACAACCTGGGTCTCCTCGGCAACCTGAGGCACATGTTGGGCCTTCGCTGGTACATCTGCTGGCTCTCCCCGCTCATCCCATCACCGCTCCCTGGAGACGGGATTACCTTCCAGGTCACAGGATCCCTGGAACCCTCCCAGTAGCATGCAGAGGTCTGAAAAGACTCGGAGTCTTTGGTTTATTGTTGATGGTTAACGCTGACAAAAGCAGCAGCAAGAGCGTTTGCTTATTTTAAGAGGAGCTAGCTTTGGATGGGGGGATGCTTCTGGGGTTTTGTGGTTTGAAGTTCATTGTCCGCCTTTTAGCTGAGAAGGAGAATCGGGTTGACAAGAAGATAATCTGTGCACTGGTTGAGGCTCGCCTCATAAAAAATGACAGTTCTTTTACGCCACTGAGCAAATGTTGTGATTAGCATTGCAGCGAGGACGATCGGTAATGTCTTAACAGTAAATGTAGAATATGAAATCTTTGTTTGCAGCCTTTTAGAAAAATGGGGTGTTGTAGTTATAATTAGAGGGGATTTTTTCCTATAAAAAAAAGCACCCTGAAGCACTCTGGAAAAAAATAATCTTGCTCAGATTATTATTTTTGCACTTTTCAGGATTAAAACTGAGCTTATTTGCCCCGTTCTGTCCAGATAAACTGAAATGTTTTTACTAGGGGTTGCACATAGAAACCGGATGGTGATCTGAATCATTTTGGAATGATCAGTCCTGACAAACTCTCATTTTTTTTTGATCTGTTAACACCAGGCTGTACTAACTACACCAATCTTCAGTGTAGAGGCTATCACTAAGTGCTGAAGGACCAGAGGCTTATTCAGTATCATTAAGGTATTTAAAGCAGAGGGAAACACTGACATGTAAGAAAATGTTTAGAAGGAACTAAGTTGCCTTGATATGCTAAAAGCTGTGGTTTAATTGGGCTATGAGAGAGAGCTTCACCCTAAAGCATGAAGGCTTCTGATTGTCACAGGATATGCTGGATGTAGAGCCTTCAGCTGCCTTTTGAAATCCTAGTTAACATTTATGTTCTCTGTGAAATATGCACAGAGAAGGATGTGTACAAATATTAATGTTAATTGTGCGAATCGCTTATATATGATCTGTAATCCTTTTGTCCTTTGTTAGAACTAATGCTGTTTTTTTGACTGCCTGTCACATGTAGACAAGATATCAGGAAAAATTTTATAAATTGTTCATATGAGAAACCTACTGTGCTAGAAGCAGCAAGGAAAGAACGATGGTTAAAAAACGGCTTTACAAGAGTTTCTCTGCATCCCGTGGTTAGATGTCATCTCTGCTATGATGCTTGGTATGAAAAATGTATAGGCGGTCGCTATATGAATGCTATAAAAATATTTGTAATTAAAGTTCTAACAGAGAAGTCTGAATTGGCCTAACTGTCCGATCAGAAATCAACCTTGAGCTCCGGTGCCTCTGGTTTTCCCATTTATTTATAAACCTGTTGTGAGCCTCATGTTTCAGTTTACAGTTCCATGTGATGTTAAGTTGTCTGACGAATGCAGTATTTAAAATGATTTTATCTATGATATATAAACAAATGAGTATTTTTCATATTTTGTAACACACTCGCCATTCTGTCACCTACTGCAACAGCAAACCCACCTTCATCCCATCGTTCCTTGCAGGATGACAGTTCTTATCTCAATATTCATGTCAATCAGTGTCTTTTTTTGTTTCATTTTCTCCAGGTGTTCTTGAGGCTGATAAACACCATTTTTAAAGTGTTCAGTGTCAGCATGTCATCTTTTTGCCTTTAAGGCGCTAACATGTCTTACTGCACTCAATGCCAGCTTTAATTTTATTATCTCTATACTTAGTTTATCAACTTCTCCTTGCCTTAAAGTGGATCAATAAATTAAAAGCCTTTGTTTTGATCGGTTCTTTTAATGGTTGTTGGATTTTCAATCTGTTAGGTTTTTGTAATTTTCTGCTATTTTCTCTGTCGGGTTTTGCTGTTTGAATGTGCATTATTGAACTATTTGAATTGAGGTATTTTGCCTTTTTAATTGTTTTGTATTGCAACTCCTGTTTTGTAATATTTACTTCAAAAATGTTGGTCGGAACAGTTTTTGTTTTCTTTTTCAGAATCCAATGTTTGATTAAAAACTACAGAAATCAGCGATCCGCCTGTTTTATCTACGGACTATTTGTAACTTTTAACAAAAGAGTAACAGTTATTTAAACTTTGGTCATTTGAGAAGCAACTTGGTCATTTTAGGTTAGTTCCTACTTAAAAAAAAAATATATATATTTTTTATATTATTAGTTTGCCTTAAATTTATCCTTAATTTTCACAAAGAATCCTCAAGGCAAAGATTTTTCTCTAAAGGTCAGTTTCTGATCCAAATGTTAGTGCAGGAATATTCCCCTGTGATTGTAAAACTGCCATGATAACTCCTTTTTTAAGGCAAGTTCCAGCCTAGATATATCCAACTAGAAACCAATCAGCATAATTTCATCTGCTTAATAGAAAAGAATGCATTTCCCAACATAGATTATATTCTATTACATAAACGGTGGGTCCTTCAAAGTCTCTAGAAAAATATAATTCCACTGATACCACCAGTAATGCGGTATTGGAGAACTTCAGATGCTAGCTTTGTATTAAACTCTGCAATCTTAAAGTTTATTGATAGTACTTCACTTATATCTTCAGTTAAATCCCCCCTAAAAGTTCTTCTTTTTTTTCCTCCATGATAGATAAAACAGTCATTTTGCATAGCAGTATATGCACCATTATTGTTACGTATACTGCTGCACTATGGGATAAAGAGTTGCATAAATATTCTGTCCGTTTTTATGGTTAATCTGACTGACAAAAATAGAGGGACGAGGTCTTCCAGACTAGTAGCACTCCGTCTCAGCTCCTTTATCAGAAATCGAGCCAATTTTCTTTTAACAGCTCAATCTTTATGTCAGTAAACAAGCAGCATGAACGTCTACAGCTAGAAGACACCAAAACTTCTGTTACCAAATCTCAACAAAGGTAAATTGAATCATCAGGGTTAGAAAGAAGCAGAGTTCCCTGAGTTTTTTCAATGAACTTAATGAACAAAGCTATGTATAACACTTTTAACACATCGATGAAAAACAAAATATACAGGAAATTAATTTTCCAGGTGAAAATCCAGTCATATTTTTTTATTATAATAAAACCCATACAGTTGCAAGATGTAAAAGCCTAACATAAACAAGTGAAATAAAGTTGACAGGAGTATGTAAAAAATTGCAACTGTCACCATTCCCCATATATGAGTGGACAGCTTTGCAAACTGCACCATAAAGCCACAGACATGCGCATGATCTCTGTGTTGCCATAGCAACAACTAATTTCATTTTTTCAGTGGAGGCAAGAGGGCGTTCCATCCTCATTTATACCCTCCACCTTCAAAGAACCCTTAACAGCTGCAAGTGTGACTTTACTGGGAGTGACACTCCATTGTGAAGGGGTAATGCCAAGGGGGCGGTCTGCAGGGGCGGAGCTAGATGGGGGGCCAGGGGTGGCCATGGCCACCCTTAGCCAATCATTGGCCACCCCTACCATTTTTTCCCTCTAATACAGATGGTGGCAGCAGTAATACTCTCAAGTGGAATATTAATTTTAATTTTTCACATATTATTTACAATTTTTTCATGTATTCATAATTTCTTGACAACAAAAACACTGTGGTTAATTATACACATCAATATAATAACATTAAAGAAGATAAGTACAGAATTCAAGCTCTTGTACTTGTATATATCAATTTTGTTTATATCAATTTTATGCTATAACATTTTAAATATATCTATTTGTTAGCAAAGGCTGTAGGAAAGTAAAGTTAGTCTTATCTTTGGCTTGACCGTGAGGTTCTGGTGCCTATCGGCTTTCGGCCACCCCTCAGTGTACATTGGTTAATGCCTGGCCCCCCTTATAAAAATTTTCTGGCTACGCCTCTGGCGGTCTGGGATTAGACCAAAAAAAGAATGCCTGTACTCCTGCACATTCTCAAACAATGAACAATTCATTTTAATAAGATAACCTCTTATACCACACAATATAGCATGTAAAAAGTATTTGTTTTAGAGCGATGGAAAATAAAAAACAGTCTGCCTTAAATACCATTCAAAAATCATCAACTGTCATTACTTTTTTTATTATATTTTATTATAATTAAGTATATACAAGTAATTAATAATAATAAAAAAAAATGTACTATTTCAGGAGTGAAAAAACACACTACCTTATAGATAACTTTAAATGTCAATGTATAAATAATAATAATATTGTAGTAATATGTAATAATGTAATAATTAACTTTTCACCGCCACCGCCATTAGAGGAGCTCCAACAGCCGCTGCTTGGGGGGGTTTTTTTGGTAAGTTCTTTATTTTATTTTTGTTAGTTTGTTTGTTTGATGACTAAAAATTTAATTAGTGAAATTAGTGAAGTCACTTACAAATACGAATTTACAATCAACTACAAAGTCTGCTATGGCTGTTAACTGAAGCTAACTGAACTATTTTAGTTTCAACTGATGGTAACTTTTAATGACTGACTTGTTCTGAATAAAAGGATAAAAAAAATAACCTGGTTTCCTTCTTTCAATTGTACCACAAAGTTAAAAAAGAAAAATGATTTAATGATACTAGGCAGAAGTTTATATTTTAGTAGATGCTTTGACTATTTCAACAAAGCTAGTTAGCTTAGCCGCTTCTATTAGCATAGAACATTAGCTGATATTTTATCTGGTGGCTAAAGTCTATGCTAATAACAGTTTTAAAATAAAGTGGGATGTAGAGATTATTTCTTAAGGGTTACCCAATGTCAGTTGATGATTTTTGAACGGTAATAAAGGCACTCCTTATTTTATTTTAATCGCTCAAAGACAAATGCTTTTTACATGGTATATTGTGTGATATAAGGTTATTAATTTTTTTTTTTTTTTTTTTGCCTAATCACAAACTAAGCTAAGCTCTACCGCTTCACTATGAAGTGTCACTTCCAGTAAAGTCACACTTGCAGCTGTTAAGGGTTCTTTGATTTAAGGTTGAGGGTATAAATGAGAAAAGGACGCCCTCTTTCCTCCACTGAAAAAAACAATGGTGTCTAAAGTACACACATTTGTTACTTAAGTAGAAGTATAGATACTGCAGTATAAAAACACTCTGGTAAAAGTCGAAGTATCAACTTTACCTCTTTATTCAAGTAAAAGTGAAAAAGTATGTGCTCCAAAAACTACTTAAAGTATAAAAGTATAAAGTAACCTTAAAAAAAAAAAACAAAAAAAAAAAACAGCCAGATTCCACCATGTGGACTAAGAGCTAAATTTTTAGGCTATTTTTGAAAAATAGGGCCAAGGATGAGGGATGTCTTGTTGGTCTCCGTCTCCCGATTCGCTCTCACCTGTGTCAAACCTTTCCAGACATTTCAACATCTTTTTCTGAATCTGACATTGTAGCATGTGTAGACAATTCACGTTAGCAGTTATAAGAACACCTGCTTGCTTCTGATGATTTCCTTTAGCTAACCAATGAGTGTTTGCCTTATATGAGTCATCCAATCACACTAGTTTTCACTAGATGCGGATGGCGCCAGGGTCCAGGGATCTGCATTGGATGGCGCACATGACGTGAAATAAATATTTATAAACATGACACCGAAGCCAAGAGTAACGAGTAACGTTTGTTTTAAAAATGTAAGGAATAGAAAGTACAGATACTTATGTGACAATGTAATGAGTAGAAGTCAGAAGTGAAAAAAAAGTAATAGAGTAAAGTATAGATACCTAAAAAGTTTAGTTTAGTACAGTAACAAAGTATCTGTACTTCGTTACTTGACACCTCTGGAAAAAAGAAATTAGTTGTTGCTATGGAAACACAAACATCATCTGCATGTCTCTAGCTTTATGGCTCATTTTGTAAAGCTGTACACTCAAACATGGGGAATGGGGACAGTTGCAACATTTGACAAACTCTTGTTAACCTTATGTTACCTGCTTTATATTAAGCTTTTACATCTTGCAACTTTATGGGTGTGTAGGGGACAGGTATAACAGGTTTCATTTCTACAGATATTGTCAATCTAACTAAAATAACCCATGAGAAACTGATAGAAGAGTAAAACCTGTTGCAAATGTCCCTACTTTCACCACTTTGAAAAAGGCGTGTGAGTGATTCCATAAATCAAGTTTCAGCCTCATCATATCTTATTATATCTTGTTTTTGGAGTTCATATTCTTCCAGATTGACGAGTCAGACTAGAGCCATCTCTCGGCGCTGAGTCCGATGTGTGGTTTTTGGATGTGCAGTGGTATATTGCATCAGCACGTCGGGCCGTAAAGTGTACAAACTTGCATTGTGATCTGGGAATTTTAAAACCCTACAGTGTCATCGTGCACTTTGAGCTGTAGCTGAGTACAACCATTGAACATATCGCACAGTGTAATCTTTAACTAGTGAATATAGACTCTAAAACATGCCTCTAGCTGACAGAGTAACTCACTCAGAGCAGTAACTATACCAAAATTGTAAATCTATAAATATTTTGCATTTAAGATTATTAACAACTTTTTCAGTCTCTCAATATGCTCTATCCAGGACTCCACAGGTGGAAAAGTTTTAGTTTCAAGTGGTTCAATTCTGCAAAAAAAAATTATTCATGGAACCTTTTGCTTATACAATTATTAATTGGTTAATTGAAAAAATAATCAACAGATTAATCGATTAATAAAATAATTGTTAGTTGCAGCTGTACCCTCAACCTGTATATGTTTTAAAGATGTGTTTTTTGCAGCAGAGGGGAGAATTGAGCCAGCCAGATGGATTCTACTGGGGAAAACATGTGAGTAATCCTTATCATACAAAACCCTCTACACACACTCACACGTGTTTAGCTGCTGATCAACATCTCATGTTGTTGGGAAGATCCCAAAAGGATATGCTGGAGAAAATAGCTGAGCTGGATCACAGCCAGAGTCACCTGAGAGAACTGAATGCTGAGATGAGGCATTGGCTGGATGCTGCAGACGATGACAACGCAGTGCTCCGCTTGGAGAACGCCAACCTCAGGAAACAATTGAACGAGTGGGTACATCCGGCCACATAAAGTGTGATCCTGCTATCTTCTTTGAATTTCCAATAATATCTATAGTCACTGCGGTGAAAAAAATCATGTTTTTCTCTGTTGTTGTATGTTTGCAGCATAGAGAGGATCCTTACTGAGCTGCAACAGGTTGAATCTGAGCCTTGTGGGCCTCTGTTGGGTGATGGCCTCTGTGAAAAACAAATCAGTGAGAAAAGGATTCAGGATTTGGTGAGCTAGCAACAGAAATATTTCCTTGTTTTCCTTTGCGTTATTCTGGATATAGATTACTTTTCTTAGCGATCTGTAGTAATATGTTCAGTTGTTGTTTCAGGAGATGGAAACCTTAAAGTGGCAGGAAGAAAATAAGGAGCTAACTGTTGAGGTAAACGTGCCATTTTGACCATTAGGTCAACCTAGTTCTACAACTATTTAATCATTTAAAGTTCTGCAATAATATGCTCTAAATTTCAAGATGTGCTCACCCTTTCAGCTAAAGAATGTTAAACAACAGAGAGACCAGGACAGGAACAGTTTGAGAAAACTCAGGAATGAGTTTGAAAACCTGGAGGTAAACTTCTGCTTTCAGAAAATTAGTAGTATCTAAATCTCTCTATCCATGAGTCTCTTCATTTTTTCAAAGTTTTCTGAATCAAATTCTAAACAAGTATTTTTTTTTCTTTTTTAATTGTGTAATCGGTATGTTATAGATGTTGGAATATCCTAATTTTAAGCCATAGTGCTTCTGAAATAAATTTTTTAAAATCCTTTTTATCCTTCATAGCCACTGATTTCATCATAGTTTAGTTGGATTTCACATGAAAGATCAACACAAAATAACAAATATTAGGAAGTTTAACAAAAAAAAAAAAAGACATATGACTTGTTTAAAAATGGAGATATGAAAAATCTAGTTTTCCATGTAGCTTACATTTCCTTATTGCAAAAAATAAAAATAAAAAAACATAAACTCCCCTTTGGTGGAGGCTGTGATGGAGTCCTGGGGCCATTTTTGATTAATAACAAAAATAATGTGGCCAGCAAGGAGTAAATATCCACCCAAAGATTTCTAAACTACTGTAGCTTCAGATTTTTATGAATATATATTAAGCTAAATAATTTCACTAATAAAAAGAATGTACAATAATAAAACATAGATATTATCTTAAATGATAAAGACAAATAAATACCAAGGTTTTAGCATTAAAGTCGTTAGTGTTATAGACTAAAGATTATTTATATCTAGAATGACAGTATCTACATTTGAAAATTTGTTGTAAAATCTAAATATCTGTATCTACAGGCACTCTCCATCCAATCTGACTGAGCTTGAGTTATTTTTTTTTTAATGTTTAATCTGCAGATGTAGATGAACCCCAAAACCTGTAGCTCTATTTGCAATGAGAAGCAATGAATAAAATTATTGGTTTAGGCCAGTTAAATGGATGCAAATATTTAAACATTTCAGATAACTTCTTTGACTTTATCATGATGCACAATTTTGTTCTGGACTGTCATATAAAATCCTTTTTATTTCTATGAATGTTGGACTATAACTCATGAATTTCTCTGCACTAGAAAAACTTAGGAATTGATGTTAACTCTTTATATCATATGGATTGTTTTTAGATTGGAGTGGAGGAACTTCAGTTAGAGCTACAGCATAGGGATGAGCTGATTAATCAGGTAGGAGCAGAGGATCCAACCAGTGAATAATAGGAATATTAATACCAATATATTTGCAGTTCTCTCTGATTCATCATATTAATATTTATTGCTAACTGTGTTTTACCTTAATAGAAACACCAGCACTTAAAGCACCTTGAGGAAACTGTGGAGGAATATTCCAACATCATTAAGGCAATAGTGTTTACACTTTATATTCTTCTTAACAGTTCTAACAGTTTGCTTTATATGGCCTATCCATCAACTGTAAAAAATATTCCCCAGTTCATGGAAATTCCTTTTTCTTACAATATGAAGATACAGTAATATACTATGATAAGACTCCAAAATCACCTACAGTTACAGAATTTTTAAAGGGAAGTTTAACAAAATTCATTCTTCACAGTCCTTATTTCTCTGGTGCTGAAGTTGTTTGTGTTTCTGTGCTGCAGGAGCTCAGGCTGGCAAAGCAGGAGCTGAGCAACCAGTTGGAGGACAGACAAGCTGATGCTACATTGTAACCCTGAAATACAAATCTTTAATATTTTTATCGTTATTGTAGAGCAAGGACTCCTTTTGCAGTGTCCTGCTGTTTTATTTTCAGTACCACTGTGGCTGAGGTGATGACCGAGGAGGAGGGACAGCCCAGTCCTCACCTGTCAATCGCAGAGGAAATCAAGCTGCTCTTCTCATCTGCTGAGATGAAACCCTGCATCAACGACTCTGAGGACCCTGCTTCTGTGATCTCTGCACTTGAGCAAAATGTAGAATACTCCATGCTGTGAATTTCAAAAATTCCTCTTTTATGGATAATAATGCAACCAGAACTGATTCGAAATAACTTATTCCTGACCTTTTTAAGACTGAAAATGCATGAAGTAGATATAATTAATCTTGAAAAAGTTTGGAAAACTATCTTAATGCATCCTTAGATGTCTGTGTGATTTAATTATTCTGTAATTCCAGCACCAACCAGGAGGTTAGTGTTGGAATTACACGTTGAAGTAGTGTTGTTTCTGCATGTGAACGGAGTTCAGAGAGTGAGTGTTTTATTGTGTCTGCAGGGAGAGGGCGATGATGAGGGGCAGCTGGAACACCAAGGTCTTACAGATGATGTCAAACCTAAAAGGTCTACCAGTCTACATTGATGATCAGCTATTTATATAAAGTATTATAGCTTCTCCAGGTATGCAGCAGTTTTTTGTATCTCACATGTTGTTTGTGTCTCTGTCTTGATGTCCCCAGCCGTAGCAGATTTGCTGATGCGTGGAGGACCGCTGTCCAGAAGCTGTTAAAGTTTTATATCATCAGTGTTTGTGTTTTGGCCTTTGTAGTTTTGGGATTCTGGGTTGGAAATTCTGACTTTTGTTTAAACAGCAGTTTGATGAAGTTGCCACCTTACGTCACCGTCCGCTATAAGGCCTTACCTCCCATTTGATCTCACTGTGTTGTTAGAAATTGCACCATGTGTGCTATGTAAATGTGTAGTCTGTGGCACCGAGGTAAATTTCAGCATCCTGTTAGGATGGTAAGACTAGCTAAGACACAGTAATTCTCTGTCTTAGCTTTTTACTCCTAAAACCATCTTTTAGATATATTTGTAGTTCAAGGGGAAAACAATGTGTTCTAAAAAGTATTCATACCCTTTTAATTAGTTCATATTTTGTCAGGATGCAATAAAACAACATTTTATTTCTGTGAAACTTTATACTATAGACCAACATGTGGTACATATTTGTGACACTGAAAGGGGAAACCTTCACAGTTTTCAGTTCTTTGACATACAAATCCGAAATATGTGCAGTGTATGTATGTGTTCTGTCCTTGTGAGTTAGTAAAACCAGCACCTTTTTCTTCAGATACGCCACTTTTTGCCGTACATCTGTACTAGCTTTAGATATATAACTACTAAAATCTTTCCATCTCAGAATAGATTAAAGTCAAGTCGAATAAAGAGGTTCTAATCAGTTAGCTTATAGTTATTAAACTATATAGTGTCATTTGGTTTTAGTCCAGTTTTTGACTAGGCCATTCTAATACATGCATATGCTTGGATCTGAACCGATAGCTTTAGCTGTATGTTCAGGGTTATGCTCATAAAGTGAACACGCTCTTTAGACGTTTGCAGGTTTTGTTATAATTTACCACTCACTAATGAAGGAACACATTCCCTCAGCATAATGTGCCTTCATAGTGTAAATCTTATGTTCAGATGACATGCAGCCAGTTTTTTTTATCAGTATATACATTCTGTTCTTGCATTTGAATTTTGGTTATAAAATATTATTTTAAATTCCCTAAATATTGAGGTACAAAGAGACATCAGAACTGATAACCTGAGTGTCGCTGTCTGGGTTTGCAGAACCACAGGCGGATCTCCATGCAACTCAGCATTGATGCAGTTAGTCACCCTGAAGGATCACTTACTAAGGATTGCATTGATGTGTTGTTCTGTACATGGGAATATGAAAGTTATGTATTAAAATGTTTATTTGTTTACTGAACACAATAAAATACTTTAAATATTTAATTCTGCAATATAAATATTTGTCTTTGCTTTTTAATATTCTGATTTACTTAGAATGGGTAGAAGATCTTTTAGTTATCAGGCTCCTCTCTAGTGAAACCAACACCCAGTTTTAGTCCATGAGGCAGACACCCTGTCTAATTTTAAGGCTAGGCTTAAAACTTTCCTTTTTGATTAGATTAGATTAGATCAGATTCAACTTTATTATCATTACACAGGTACAGGTACAAGGCAACAAAATGCAGTTTAGGTCTAACCAGAAGTGCAATAGCAGCAAGTGCAGGGTAAATAGTGGTCCCATAAATACAGGATATGGATTTCTACTATTGATTTCTACTGAAAAAGCTTATAGTTAGAGTTCCTCAGGTTATCCTGAGCTATCTCTATAGTTATGATGCTATAGGCTTAGACTGCAGCAGGACATAGGGACCCCTATTCCATCATTCTATCTCTATTCTTCCACTCTGCTGAATCTGTTAGTTCTATCTCTATCACTTTTACAGCTGCTTTTTGTATCTCTGCTTCTGTCTCCTTGAACCCCAGTCGGCCTCAGCAGATGGCTGCTCACACTGAGCCTGGTTCTGCTGGAGGTTTCTTCCTGTTAAGAGGGAGTTTTTCATCTCCACTGTCGCTACAAGCATGCTTGATGTGAGGGATTGCGTCCCAGTCAATGAGTCGATGCAATCAACTGGTTTTCGTTAGACAGAAAAATTTTAATCAAATTGACTGTATGATCTGGTGAACTGCAGAAGTGTAGCCAGAAAATGGGTGGCCAGGCAATAACCAGTGTACAGTAAGGGGTGGCCAAAAGTAGATAGGCACCAAAACCTATCTATAGGAAAATTAACAAGCAAAACATCCATATTTCTAAATAAAGCCAAACTGTACTTTCCCACAGCCTTTGCTAACAAATAGAGGAATATATTTAAACATGCTTTCTAGATAAAAGGTATAGTGGATAAAATTCTTTCAGGTTTGAGTTTTGGGTGGACATATTTTCCATTGTCATTACTTACCTATTTTTATCAGTAATCATTCTGCATAGAACTGACATTAACAAGTACTAATATCTACATAAAGGTATTATAAGATAATTATTTAATATGATGATTATTTTATGTTTTATTAAAATAGTTATTTATCTATGATTTCAGTGAAGACTCCTAGATGAATTGCAGAGACGAATCATTTTCTCTTTACCCAATAAAACACAAAATCTATTAATGAAAATAGCATGAATTCTGTATTTATCATCTTTAATGTTACCATATTGATGTGAATAATATACCACAATGTTTTTGTCATCAAGTAATTGTTAATATATGAAAAATTAAAATATTTTTGAATTATCCACTAGGGAGTATTACTGCTGCCACCATCTGTATTAGATGGAAATAAATTGTAGGGGTGGCAATGATTGGGTAAGGGTGGCCATGGCCACCCCTGGCCCCCCATCTAGCTCCGCCCTGTAAAGTGCACTGAGATGACATTGTGAATTGGGGCTATATAAATAAACTTAATTGGATTTAATTTACTTAGAGGGATATTTTATGGTTACTACTGAATGAATAGATGCTGTGGAGCAAACCAAGTAATGACCCTTCTAAGTAAACTTGGAAAATAATTTTAGAATGAATTAGTGGATATTTTAGTGAATTTAGAGACCCACCCAGCTGATGGAGCTTTGCGCCCCGCCCAGGAGGAGAAAATCCCCAACTGGATGTCATTTGGAGCAGAATGGATGCTGAGACGGTCTGATTCAGGGGAAGTTTATAAATAGATGGTGATTCATCAGCTGCTCTCCCTCACTGGATGCTGAGGAAGGGCCGCTGCTTTCTGGCGTCCCCCCCGCTGATTCTGATGGAGATCCCAGACCACTGAGCGACAGGACAGGCAGATCCGCTCCAGAGGAGGATGTTTATGATTTAAGTACCCGAAGAGCGGCTGCGGTTGGCAGGATGAAGGCTCCGAGGAGACCGAGGCAGACGCTGCTCCTTCCCCGGCTCTGCATCAGCGGGCTGGCTCTGCTCGCAGCTCTCTGTGCCTCTCACTTTACCGGAGGTGCTCTTACACTGCGATTATCTTCAACCATTTTTAACATTCTGATTTAGATGCTTGGTTTCATCTGTAAGGAACATAACTGATGTTTTGTGATATATTTTATTTCCAGGCTCTCATAGCCAACCTGGGCAGAATGGCAGGCATCTGTCTAAAAGAGAGCAAATAGTGGAAAACCAGAACAGCAGCATTTCAAGATCTGGTGAGACTTTATAGCTACTTTCTTCTATTATCAAAACTGGCACACAGGAGCATTTTACAATAGGGCTATCATTTGCAATCATAATAAAGCAGAGGCGCTGCTATTATCTGAAGATGAAGGTGTCCCTCCTGGGTCTATTATTCTGTTTCATTCATGCCTGCCTGCTCCCATCATTGATGTTCATTCTTCATTTCCTCCAACTTTGCACATCTAGATGTTTAAACACAGAGGCCTTTGAGGGACCCAGTTGCTAGGCAACTGGATGCTGAATCTGTGGTCGGATGTATCGTGAGTCTCTGTTGTAGTTCTTAGTGCTTATCCCGTCTAAATGATCTGCTGATTATTGGAGGCTCTCATCAGCATGCCTCTCTCTCATATCTAATTAGACTTGGAGGGTTGGTGGGTTGCATTTAGTAAATGCACAAAATCTATTTAGCTAAAGAGTCATTT